GAAATCAGAGATCTGCTTGCCTCTGTCTCCCCCATGCTGGAATTAAAGGTATGTGCCACCACACCAGCTCCTCACTGTCTTTTTAAAAATCATTTTATTCTTTTTCTCTCCCAAGCCTATGCATATTTTAAAACTCACTGTAAACCTTTAGAGGTTTTCTTAACGTGAATCTGTCTTTACTGTAAATCTTTATCTTTTGTAGCCACAAGTCTTTTATCAGGTAAACAACAACATTGCTAAAATGAAAGTCATATCTCTGTTAGCTGCTAAGATGTCGGCAGGCACCTGAGAGTTGTGCTCGCTGTCTTGGTTTGTGCTGCCAACCAGCAGTATGTGGTAGTTGCCATTGCCAGCTCTGATACACACCAATAAATTGTTAACAGAGTTTCTTAAAAAGCCATGCGTTTTTTTTGTTTGTTTGTTTGTTTGTTTTGTTTTGTTTTGTTTTTTTCTTGGTTGCTTATGCTGAGTCCCTTAAAAGAGCCTTGCAAATCTCTTCTGGGATCTAACAAAACAGAGTCCAACCGAGAAAAATGCTGCTACCAAGAAGTCTTGCTTTTGTTTGTTTTTTGATTTATAAAACCCTTTTTTAAGCTTCTGCTAAGTTTCAAATGGAAGTTCTTATTAGCCACATAACAGTAATGTTATGAATAGTTTTTCCTGCAGCCTGGAGCCATGGTAGAGCCTGTCCCAATAACACACACAGACTCTGTATTTGATATTATGCTGTTGGTCAGTTTCTAGTTTCTTATCGGCTAGCTCTGTCTTAAATATTAGCCCATTTTTATTAATCTAAGTACGTCCATGTGGTCTCCTCTTCCCGGAGAGTGTGGCCGGTGTCCTGCTCTCTCCAGTCTCTACATGTTGACTCCTCCTCACTACTTCCTGGAAGCCTCTTTGTCTACCTATCTTGCTTTCCTATTGACCAACAGTGTTTTATTCATTAACCAGTATGAGAAACATATTTACAGAATGACATCTCCCATCATTCTTTTCTTACCATCTATATGGCATGATGTCAACTGGAGATTTTCCACTTATGATTCCTCAATATAGTGTCTACATTTCCTTTGGGTATATACTCACCATTGCCTTATTAGATCATTTAGTATTCTTCTATTTTAAATTCATGAGGAGTTGCCGTACTACTTGCATAACACATGCATTAACTTATATTTCCTTTAACATCTGTAAGAATTATTTTTTCTTCTTTGTGCATATTCACACTTGCTATCTATAGTTGTTAATAATAGTTATACTAACACATAAAAAGTAAAGTAACAGCAGTATAAACTCATAGTTTGATCTTTCCCAATAATCTATGGTTTTTGGTATTGTCACCAATCATTACTGTGCATTAGTTGCTTGGTCAAAATCTAATCACAACTATACACATGGTTTCTGTTGACCTCAGTGACTTAATTTTGCTTGTCAGCAGAGTAGCTTTACCTTCTTGGTGTTGTTCTATAGGATGCATTCATACAATTAGGTACCTTTTGGTTATAGGAGTTGACGTAGTTTTTTTCTAAGGCGTCACTAGTTCTTGCAAGGTTACTATCTGGAGACAACCTCTTAGTTTATAACCCAGGCTTGCTAATGCCCCCCTTTTTCTTTCTCTAAATTATCATATAACTGTGACATAGCCATATACTTTCTTCTTTTGTTGCCATGTAATCAGTTGTATTTTTGGGAAATTACATTTCCATGTATTTTTTTCCTATTCACAACTGGAGTCGCTTTTAACATATCATTGTTATACTCATTGATACACAAAGATGACTTGATGATGTCTTAGTCACTTGATGTGTATTTTGCAATGTTACAATTATGTTTACATGCTCTTGTTCTTCATTTGGTCACATTTCAATCACTAATTGCTATAATTGCTTTATTAAAATACCCTTCATATGGAATGTATTCTTTAATGAACAGATAACGCATGTGTGAGGATAGTAACTAAATAACACACCCTTCTGGTTGTAATGGAAATCAGCCAATCCTCTATAGAAATCAGTATGGTTGGTTTTGCACAAGCAAATAAAGTTCAGTCAAATGATTCAGCTCTACCAACCCCACTGACACCACTGAAAAATGTCACAGAGTTATATAAACATAAAATCTTATAGCAGCATTCACAAGATAGTAGTTGCAAAGTCAACCCAAGTGGCAATTAACAGAAATGTATATATAAAAAAATGAATCAAGTATATACAATGAACAATATTTTCAAATACAAAAAAAAATACATGAAGTTTATCAAAAAAACTGGATTGAATCTAAGTGACCTATCCCAATTTTACCTAGAACACAGTGTGTTTCTGTATCTGGGTCAATTTCTTATGCATTTTATTAGGACATACATACAATTAGGACATACATACAATATAAAAAAAATACTTTGAGGAAAATTCTCACTAATTTCACCTTCCTCTTTGTCTTTTTCTTTCCCCTGACTTGTCTCCTATATTATTACAGATATTTCACCTTTACCTTTATGTCACAAATTCTTTACTATTTATGATAATTCTGTGATGGGAGATGTCATTCTGTATATGTTTCTCATACTGTTCTCATACTGGTTAATGAATAAAACACTGTTGGCCAAGATGGAGAGTCTGGAGAGAACAGAACCGCCATTCCTCCACTCCTGGTAAGACCACGTGGAAATACATAGAAATGGGTTAATAATTAAGACAGAGCTAGCCGATAAGACACTAGTACCGGGCCAACCATTATATCTAATACAGAGTCTCGGTGTATTAATTGGGGCTGGTGTGGCAGCAGGACAAGACCAGCAGTGGGCAGAAAAACCATACTCCTTACAATTATGAGTATAAATGTCAAATTAAATGAACAAATTATCCATTTTCTTGTGCTATAAAAAAAGACTAATGATAGAAGATACACCTAAAAATTATTTTTCAGTACATGAGTTCAACAAATTGGCCTTTATATAGAGTAAATTAAATGCTGTTTTATGCTTCATTGTCATGTGTTCTACAAAATTTCACACAATTTTGAACTAGGACACATAAACATTCATTGATTCATTTTCTTATTTATTTTTGCATTCACTAAATCTTTGATGTTTGAGTACCACAATTTAGACTATACAGGACAAAGTAATACAGAAAAAAGTTCCTGTGGTAACTTGGGACAATATTATGATAGATGTATAGGTACAACAGAGTCTCTGACTCTGTTGCCTGCTTTTGGATCCCTTTCTTCCTATTGGGTTGCCTTGTATAGCCTAATGTAAGAGGGGAAACCTAGTCTCACTACAATTTGATATTCCCTGGTTTGTTGATAAATTGGTCCTAAAGAGAAAGAGATAGGACTGAGTGGACATGGGGAAACACAAGGTACAAGGAGGGTCTTGGAGGAGAGGAGGATGAAAAACTGTGTTCAGGATATAAAAGCCAAAAATTGATATAAAGCTACAAAAAATTCCAGGAAAATTACATGGGCTTCTGTAGCAAGTTTGTTATGAGCAGTGTTCCCATCAGCCTGATTCCATAGCCAGACCAGCCCCAAATAACACACAGAGATGCTATATTAGATATAAAGCTGTTGACCAATTACTATCATTTCTTATTGATTAGTTCTTTCTTAAATATTAATCCATATATCAACCTAAGTGTATCCATGTGGTCCTGACTTACTGGAGAGTGGGTCTGAACCTTCTTCTCCCTTGTCTCCTAGTTTTGCCTATCTTGCTTTCCTATTTGCCAACAGTGCTTTATTCATTAACCAATAAGAGAAACATATTTACAGAATAACATCTCCTATCACAAGGTCATTTGTAGTAATCACACTTATTAAGCTATTAATGAAGATAGTCAAATATATTATAGAGAACATCAGAACTCAAAGCACTTTGAGGTTGGAAGTGTCAGAAGGTCAGAAAATACCAACAGGAGAAACTGTGTCACTATGGAAGCCATTTCCTTTGCCCTGGTTTCTGTGTTTGCCCTATGTAAGTGATTAATCCAGAAGTTCATTGTACTAATTTTTAAAGAAAGCCTCACAGGATAGAAAGACACAATACAACAGAACTCAAGCAGAGTGGTTTTATCATTATCATCATCAGAAAAGGATCATACAAAGGGGGAAAAGGGAGGGGAAACAGGAGCATTAGAGGGAGGAAAGAGAAGCAGAGAGGAGAGGGGAGGGAGAAAAACAGAGAGAAGAGAGATGGGAGGTGGACAGGAAACACAGAGAATGCACATGAGTTGTCTCTTAGTGTCTGCTGCTGAGGGTACATGCTGTCAGAACCTCAAGGACAGGCCAATACAGATGCCTGAATTCTAACATCCATGTTACTTTAATGGCCTTGGAGTCTGTTGTTTTACACAAAATGAAGGGATTATAATACCAAATTTAAGGTTCACAAAATAACTAAAATATACATCTTCATGAACTTTAAAATTGTGATAAATTATATTGTTTCTAAGTACGTGTTTAAGCAGATATTATTGATTTTAAATCATCATGAGGCTTTAATATGTGATAAGGGTATCTGTCCTGAAATCACAAACACACAACAAAAAAGACTCAGAGATTGTGTTAATCTACCTATCTATCATCTATCTTCTATCTAATATCTACATTTCTACCTGTCATCTATCATATATATGTATATATATGTATTATATATATATATTCTAATTACCGTCATCTTCATTTATTTTATTTATGTATCTATTTATCATCATTTATATAATCACATACCAATAATAATAAAAGAAAAAGAGTCCATTTTGAGAGGTAGATGTTTGGGGTAACTTGGGAGGGACTGGAGGAAGGAACATAGGAGAGTTTAAAAGGAGAGAAGGGAAATAGGAAATGATGTAAATATATTTTAGTTAAAGTATATTAAATTTAAAAAGTAAATACACATGATAGCACAGACAGTTATCATGCTAAGAGGAATCAATACAGTTGAAATATCTCCAGTAAGTGTGGAAGCTATTCATTAACATGTACATAAGTCTATGGCTCTACATTTTCAGTAAAACTCTTCTCAGTGCAGCAATCACATCCTTGTTCCTAAGGCTGTATATCAAGGGATTGAACATGGGGGTCACAATAGTGTAGAACAGAGAGAGTAGCTCATCAGTTCTTGCAGAATGAATGGATTTTGGCCTCAAGTAGTTAATGGTAGCTGATCCAAAAAATAAAACTACTACCACCAGATGGGAAGAACATGTGGAGAAGGCTTTTGCCCTCCCCATAGCTGTTGGCAATTTCAGAATGGTGACAATAATTTTGCTATAAGATGCAAGTATCAGCATAAATGGGAAGGCAACAAACAGCATAGCCACTAAATAGACAGACAGCTCATGCATTGAAGTATCCCCACAAGCCAGCTTGAGAATCGGTGGAACATCACAGAAGAAGTGATCTATTATATTAAGATGGCAGAAATGTAGAGAAAATATTCGGCAAGTTTGCCCTATCTGGACTGGGATGCCACCAAGCCAAGAGCCAACTGCCATCTGAGTACACTTTGTTGGGTTCATGACCAGAGGATAGTGCAGAGGATTACAGATGGCCACATAACGGTCATAGGACATTACAGCCAGTAGGAAACACTCAGTAGCTGCCAGAATTAGGAAGAAAAACATTTGAACAGCACAGGCCAGAAGACAAATTCTTCTATCTTGAGTCCAAAGATTGTACAAAATTCTAGGAAGAGTGACTGATACATAACAGATTTCCAGGAATGAAAAATTGGCCAGAAAAAAATACATGGGCTTTTGTAATGCCGGATCAATTCTGGCTAAGACAATTATGAAGCTATTTCCCATTAAGATAATCATATACATTATAGAGAACATCCCAAACAGAAATCCTTGTATGTTTGGAAGGCCAGAGAACCCAAGAAATAGAAACTGTGTCACTGCTGTAGCATTTTCCTCCAGCTTATTCTCTGTGTACTCCATCTGTGGAGATCATTCAAACAGAAGCACATTATTTCCTTCCCATTGTGTACAATTTTGTCAGTAAACTGAAAATATCATACTCTATGCCTATATCCCATAGACAAAACTAAAAATGCGGTAGGCTATATTATCGGGTACTAAATTGGTTTGTAAGGAATTTCATTTTTATTTTGTTTTATGACTAGATGTTAATGTAAGTTCAAGTTAATAACAGTAAGCATGCCACTTTTACTTCTCATCTACTCAGATTCAGAACTCCAAATTAATTCTCCTTTGTGCAATGATTCTATTCTTTAAGTTTATATTTTTCTTCTTACCTAGGTTTTATTTTTGCAGGTGTAATTATCACAGTTATTTTTTTTCAGTTTAATAGATATTTATTTTGTTATTTTTAAATTATGTTTTTCTTTTTGCCCAAATGCTTCCAGATCCTTCCCAACTCCCTACCATATAATTTTATCTTCTTTCTTTCTCTTACTCTTTCTCTATCTTAAAAAATGAAAAGCAAATCAAACAAAAAATAAATAAAAAATTATTCCAACAAAACAATAAACCACCAAAACTAAAATAAAATATGGACTCCACATTGTATCTTGCAACTCATTCTGAGCCTGAGGTGCTTCTTATATACACAGTGACACATCATTACAGATCACAAACTTTCTATTTCCCAGTAGGTATCAATGGCAAATAACGGCTTGTTTAGGGGTAGCACTTTATGTTTTCTTCTCCTCTTAGTGATGGGGTTTTGTCTACTGTAAACCTGTGCTGGTTTACTTGAGGAAATATTCTTATATATTTGCTAAATAATTTAAGCAAGGGATATTATCTAAAGATGATTTCCCCAAACCCTGTTAACTTCTATATTCCTGCACAAAGTCATTTATTATTATTAACTATTACTGTTATTATTATTAGATAACTACTATGTATAATGAGGTACTACTAATGTGTAATCCAATGGTTACCATTCATTGCAAAGTCCATAAAAATGAGTATTCAGCCCGGTATTGCTGGTGCAAGCCTTTAATCCCAGCACTCAGGAGGCAGATGCAGGCTGATCTCAGTGAGTTCAAGGCCAACCTGGTGTACAGAGTTAGTTCCAGGACTAGCTCCAAAGCAATTCAGAGAAACCCTGTCTCAAAAAAATCAATATTAATAAATGTTATTCAGATTTAAGGTATGTGTGGTGTTCAGCTATGAATTTAGGCTACAGAAAATAATTTTTAAGATGATCTTCCTGTATGAATTAACTTAAGTGGCAGAAAAGTTTTCACTCCAATTGATTGTCAAAAATGATCTAAGGAGAGTATGAATTTCTATACCCTGAATGTAGATCCATTGTAGAAATGATATCAAATTCAGCTACTTTGAGCTGTTCCAGCAACATTGTTATCTTCACTGATTGTCCTTATCCTTTTGGTCTCATTTGTTGTTTTGTCTCCTGCATTGTACTTGTTTGTGAGGTTCATGCACACATTTCCTACTAAGATCTTATTTATCATAATTATTCCCATTTTGTCTCTAGACCTGTATTATAATTTCATCTGGTATCTTGTATATGCTTTCTATATTTTCTGTTTGCTTCTGTATTCAGTAGATAAATATAAGGGGATAGCATTGATGTTACCTACTCTTAATGAAATATCTCACAGCATCATTTATTCTCCGTATTTATTGACTAATTCTAAAATTAATCATTATTTATTCAAAGAGAATGGTGAAATTCACAGAAAATAGGAGGCAGACTATCCATCTTACTTAAAGATTTATGTGTGGAATATGTTCCAACATGTAACTCTAAAAGTGTATATATATATATATATATATATATATATATATATATATATATATATATATGAATGATAGAAAGCTTGTGTTAAATTTACAATGTATTAACTGAAAATTTAATAAACAAACATTTTTAGATAAGATTTCACATTATAAACATATGATTTTATAGTCAAAATGTTTCATTTTTCACACTACATAATAAAATTCATGTAAATATTTATTCAAAAATTTAACTTAATATACATCTAATTATAGAGATAATGATTTAAAAAACTTCATTCATTCCATTGACTAAATGAAAGTATTGTGTTTTATATGTTTGGTAAGCCAAATATTTCCCTCAGAAACTGGTTCCTTCAATAGCTACCCATAGAAAATGCTGTCTTGTTTTCTTTCTTCTTCTTACAATTTTATCCATCTGTGCTTACTGTTTAGGCAATAGAATGCATCTCTACGCTGAACTCAACTAGATTTATAACATAATAGAAAGAAAAAAATAGCACCATGCACAGGTGATATTCCTCTTCATCTGTAGAGTAGTTTTCTATTTATTTATTAACCTCTGTTTTTTTCCCATTGGGGGGTGCTTGGTGAGGGAGTCTCATTTTTACACTGTTAAAGGAAAAATAATTTTACTCACATTTATGAGTTTTGACTTTAAAAATTCATGAAAAAAAAGAAGTAATTCATTTGAATGATTGAAGATATTCTTACTATCTCTGTTTTTGTTTGTTTCTGGTTGTGCCTTAACTCAGGGATTAATGTATGTCAAACAACATTCTATCTCTAACATGTTTCCTTAGTGCAATCTTTGCATAAAGATTTCAAACATTTTTAGCATGTCGGCTTTTATGTTTTTAACAATGTGAAACATTTTTGGAAGCCTTTAATCCTGAGTAATTACAGGAAGAAAAAGAATTTCAGTATACATTTCAGGGAAATCTAGGAATGCTGAGTTCATGTACCTATATTTAGTGACATTGTTTATAAAATGCTGATTTCTGTTACTGTATATATTGCTGTGATATTAACAGGATCATTTCACATCACTCAGAGTACACCCAAAACTTTTTTCCTCTGAACAAGTGTATGAATAAAATTGAAGATGGGGAATAAGAGAGTTCATTTCTTTAAAGCTCAAAGGAAATATATTATTGTTCTCCAGATTAATTTATCATCAATATTAACTCTTAACAGTCAGAAACATTTTGATTAAAGGTAAGGTAATGTATTTCAATCATATTCATCGATATTTAGATAATATGCTATAGAGTTGGAACTTCATATTTAATACAGATACCTTTAAATATATTCTTAGTCAAAAATAAAATGACCTGAAACATATTATCACATAAGAACAACATCAATGGCAATAATTTTAATTATCTTCCCTTCATTTTAAATGTTGGCATATCATTTTCATTTGATCTAATAAATGTCAAATATTTGAACAGTAAAAAGTCAAATTAAATAGCATTTGTAGTTATAAAAAGCCAGAAATCCATAACTCCTTTTCATTATTTTGTGTGATGCTCCTCTAATGTTGAATTTAAAAAAAACTTAAGATTACAGGTAAAAAGAAATTTGATATTTGTCAAAACTAGCTTGGACTTAAAAATATAGCATTCTTACCTTTATCGATTGATACATTTCAGAAACTGATGAAGAAATTAGTTTAACTATGATGAAGAAGGTTTTTTTTTTTTTTTTTTGGTCAGAGACTGGTCATCTTCTAATAAATATACTATTGGCAGAAGACACATTGCAGTTTCAGTGGGAGCTGTTCACTACTCTGGGGATAAATTCCTTTCTCATGTTACTTTTAATTGAATGGAACAAAATTTTTGTTGCTACTCAAGGTTTTTAAAACAATAATAAAAATGAATAAATGGGAAAAATTTCCCTTGGGCTATCATTATTATGTACTCTTAGTCTTTATGTTTGTGTACAGTCATAAAGAAATACAAGTTCTGACAGCAGTAACATAATAAAATGATAATCATAATAATTAGAGAAATCGTTCTCTTTTTGAAGTGTTTTGGATCCATCAGTGTTCCCAAGAAGTTACAAGACATGAAATTAAAAGATGAAATTATTTGTACATTTTTCAGAGGTAATTCTGAAATCTGTATTGTTTAAACTGATCAAAACTTTCTGCAAAACTTCCTTTAATACACTAAAATTATAATGACCAAGCAAAATACCATCCATACAATGAAAAAACACTACAAAGGAGTCATTTAACAAAGTGAAAAGTCTGCAATAATTAATATTGCACATGGTAGGATTATTTTTCATTCCCATAGGCAATCTGCAAATTTCATGATTTTTCCTTTAAAACAGCTGAGTAATATTATGCTATTAAAATTACCATACATTTTTGATCAATTTATCTGTTGTAGATATGGAAGCTGTTTCAAATTTTTAAATATTATGAGATGAGTCCTTTAGGTATGTGTCCAAGAGTGTCAGATGGATCATAAAGTAGATCTCTAGTCCTATGTTCCTATGGAACTGTCAGATGAAATTTCATAGTGGCTCTAATTATTGGCGCTGGCAACAACAGTGATTGGTTGTTTACATTCTCCTATATACTCAGCATCATGAGCTGTCATTTGATAGATCTGAGCCATTCTGACTGGTATAATATGAAAATTCAAAGCTACTTTGGTTTCCTTTTCTCTGAATGTTAAAGATACTAAACATTTCTCTTTTCTTGCTCTCCCTCTCTACCGTTCCCCCAACTCAACCATTCCATTGCCTCATCTTCTCCTTCCCTCCTCCTTTTCTTCCTCCCTTTCCCATTTACTCCAGATATCTTTTCTATTTCTGCTTCCCAGGGGCATCCATGCAAGTCACTCTTCAGGTCCTGTTGTGGAGTTTTTTTTTTTTTTTTTTTTTTTTTTTTTTTTTTTTTCCGTACAGTCAGGTACTGCCACTTTTCTCAGCTCCAAATAAACACACAAAGAAGCTAAATTAGTTATTAACCTGTTGACTGATGACTAAGGCTTCTTATTTGGCTAGTTATGTCTTAACTGTTAACCCAATTTTATTAATCTGAGTATTTCCACATTGTCTTTTCTTACCAGACAAGAGTCTAGACCTCTTACTCCTTTGGCAACCATATGTTATCTCTCTGACATAATTGGTGTTGCCATGAGCAGCTGTGTTTCACTCTCATGAAAAATCCTAAACCATTTTAAATG